CTTGACCGCGAGCTAGCTGAGTGTACCTCACGAGGCTTTTGTGGTGTGAGAACTTCAGTGAGTAACTGCGAGACCGGGGGATACAAACTCATGGGCCAGTGCAGGGATATCCCATAGATATTTCACCCCCATTGCGACCTAAAAAACACTTCCTAATTATGACTGCGAAACGTACTTTGCACTCAATATCACCACACGAATTCACGTTTTAGGGCCTAGAGACTGCCAAACCCAAGTATAGTCCGTACTCTGCTGAGTTCCTTCTGTGTACTGTTCGACTGAATGAATGAGCCCGGAAATCAGGACACTATATGTAAGAATCAGAGTACAAAAATTGAATGCACAATCCCCTCTGGGAAACTTAAGTAATTTTTATGAAAACTTGAAGGCTACTCCGCCTTCAGTCTCCAATCACCCAACTCAAACCAATAAATCGGCTTTAAAAATTCGCCCACACTCCAATCAGAACATGTCACGCTCAGAAAGGACTGATACCTAACCAACGACTAACATAAGCGGCAACTTGTCGTACTAGTCCCTTGGACCTAATGTACTCCGTGCTGGACGTGGAATTCTGGCGTCGAATCGGTGTATGAATAATTACGCGCACGTGACCTCAGTCGACACAACAGCTGTCAAACCTAAACGATATTGGTGAGGTGGCAGTCAAGACAGGCCTGCAAGCACACAGCCAAAACACGCAACGGTCGCACCCGGCTGGTAGTTGACCTTGGGAATACGCTAATCGGTATTATTGAATGCACACCTTAAAAGTGCCTTGTCCCTACGCGGTTGATTGGGAAAGGTACGTGGATATTGTTTTCCGCGGCATCTGGAAAAGCTTTTTTGTAATTTCTCCCTCAACTCTACATCATGTCTCGAAACCACCACATTATGTTTATGATCCTCGAATGCATTACCGGTTGTACGGATGGCGTCAAAATTCCAAGGCTTAATCCACAGTAGATGAGCGAATTTTGCAGGTCAAAATTTCTTTCGCACTATATGATTTTCCTTTAGAAAACAGGTGAGATATTCGGCCATGGAATCAATACCCACAAACGTCTATGGATATGTTGCTAGACTCATAGGGTAGAACAAAAATCTGCCTTTTTCAATACCTTACTCTTGGTTAACAAAAGAAAGCGCCTAAGAATTTTTAGTTGAGTGATACATGATGAATTACCGTAGGAAGATTTGCTTCGTCCCTGATTGAAGCATTTTTGAGGGTAGCTGACTTTTTGCAGCGTTGTTACAGGACAGATATGTCAGGGTAAAATGAATCCAAAGTGCAGTGCATTTGTTGAGTGCTTACCAAAAGAGCGATCAGTCCGCTAGATAAACTAGCTGATAGTCCTCGGGGGGAATAGTAGAAACGATGCCTTATTCCTTCGCAAGATTTATAGTCAGCTACCGGCCTACGTAAGTGAGGTCAAATGGTCAAGTACGATGCACTCGTCAGGGCTACCAACGTTTGGTTATAGTATCTTGAGACATCAATGAATGACTAATTCGGACGGATCGCTGAAGTTCACAGTGCCGACAGTGATCCTTGTATGGAAGGCCCAAGTGTTGTCCCGAATTGTCCGCAGGTTTTTTTCACATTCTTGCTTTTTTGTGGCCACAATAAATGGCATCTTGGAAATGAGAACAAAAAAATCTATTGAAGCTGCGACATGCTTTAGACTGATATAAACGCAACAGAAAAGTGCTAATCTCAGCAAGCAACCCCACCATCGACTGGACTAATCTGTTCCTCTAGAAATCACCGAAATACAAACAGGTTATGTGTTGGCAACTTTATATTTGCAAAAAATAAACTTACAGTTAATACAAAGGTTATCCTACACAAACATATATTTCTATTTGTTTATATACGTACTGATACCTGCAGCACTGGAAACTTTCCGGCTTCCAACAAGATTGCTCTTTGAAGACTTTTATTTCTTATCCTGCAGATCTGTTTGACAAATAGCATTTAGTGATTCTGCTGAGAGCAGTTATAACGGGTGTCACTGGGGCTTCTAACACAGATCTTACTTGAACCAGTGGGCTTTGTTAGTAAAATACAATGAACGGTAACCATAGTTTAGAGGCCTCACCATCTAGCAAGCGGGGTGCATCGTCACACAAGAGTTGAATTGCTTTCTCCTTTCACCTGGTAAGATGTGATTGTCAGCGGTGTTTTCTCTCTGAAGCCAAGTTCTTATGTGCAACTTCTAAGTGTTCATTCACCTCAGACAACAATAGAATCACTTGGATCCTGCAACGATGAATTGGTATGACATCAAAGGGCAACTTATCCGAATCATTAGAGTGTTACAGCTTAACTTGTGCTATCTTTTATTACTGTAACCAGTTTAGAGTAACCAACAGCATGGAGATTTCATGGGCTGCCCTTATATTGCGAGAAAGGGTGGAGTGATTAGTTCTTAATACCTGCTTCTGGCGGGGAACTATTATCAGATAGATCTTTTTTATCAGTTTTGTTTGCGGGGCGCTGTATGACCTTCCAGAATTAGATGTAGAATTTTCACTTGGGTCCGACCACGCTACAAGCAATTACAGGTCGTTCACAACGGCACAATGGATCCAACAGGACCAAAACGAGTTGTTTTTTTTTCAGGATTACGTGGCTCGCCCCATCTATTGTTTTTTTGATTACGTGGCTCGCCCCATCTACTGAAAACTCAGCTGGATTTCGTTTTGATGATAGGTGAAGTGTTTTGTCACTGCACCGATCAGTAGATGATAGCACTAAGAGATGGGGATTTATCTGCATCAGGCTTGGAGATTTCGGAAACCCAGCTTTCATTAACTCGATGAAGACCAGAACTGGTAGTTTATTCATTTTATTTAGGCCAGTTCGATGGCCATATTCTCGAACGAAATATCACCTGGCAGAGTTTTACTTTATGTACAACAACAGATATGGTGTGTAGCTGACTGTTCCATGGAACCGTGTCCCGAGTGTCTAGTTTTTTTAGTGACACCATGATGAATCTAAATGTCGTAGTCTTAACGCCAGCCATATAGGTGAACTTTGTAAGATGGTATGCAGCATCAATTAGAAAACCAACCAAATGTGTTTATCTTTCCTACTGAATCCTATGTGTTGCTTGGTTTTGGTTGAGTCATCCGGACAAGTATGATTGTTGCTTACATTAATAGCTTTATATGCCTGGAGCCTCACTCAGAATGGAGAGTTAGCACGCAAGTAAGGATTCCCGCATGTGGTTCTCAGTTAGTTCGGAGCACAATATCTACGAACATAGTACCCAAGTAGAAATGTTAGTAAAAAGGGAAAATATGTGCATCCCAATCGAAAGTTGAAAAACAGAGGTCAGCATCAATTAGAGGGATCAGAATTCTCAAGTTCAGTTACAGCGATACACATTTGATTGATCTGAGTCATACTGCCCTTTCTACCAAAGCCATTTGCTTGGTGTGAACGTGGTTACTGCCAGATGCGTGGTTGCAGTATCCATCCAGCCGGGCAGATGTTAAACTTAGGCAATAAATACTTCACTGTCCGGAGAAACCGATGTAGAACTGGTCACCGGACTGCAAAATGAGTCACATCTTCTTATTTTCTTCAACAGTTACGTACTGATTATTAGGCAACTCGTTATTTCGGTCGAAAATTATGAAGCGATGTACAATTTGTCCGAACAATTCTAATGCTGTAGGTGGTCGCGGGGATCCTGGAATTCACATCAGTCTGTCCTAGACAAATTATATCTTTGATACCACACGGAAGAGAGGAAACAGTGATCTGGGACATTCGTCGGGCATAACAGTCGCATCGCCCAGGCCTTCACACTTTTGCCTCGACACATGGTGCGTCCTGTGTATACCGTGTGTTGGTGTTAGCACTCGTCCCGCATATTAAATGTCCGGAGTTCTAACCCCGGCATGGCTAAGCGCATGCAATTGACGAGCTCCACTGGGGCGGAAATCGAGTCCAGAGCTTCCCTGTTTTGTGTGAACTCAGTTTAAAGTGCACCAAGACAGGAAGGGAATCGTTCAAGCAAGAATGAATTAAGCGTTAGTTTCATAAGCCCGGAAATCACGTACAACTGGTAGGAAATTTTCCAGCAGATTTCAAGCCCCTGTGGCGCCACCTGCCTGGGAAGTTCTAAAAGGCGTGTCATTTGATCGACACATTCAGGGCACTTTCTGGATCGTTACTCGAGGAGTCGGACAACTTTTTTACATTGCCTAGGTGTGACTACGTACGCCTGTTTAGGCATAAAACCTCGGTTGAGTTCAGTGTAAGCTGGTGGACGAGCGGTATCTCCCCTGTCCAGTTTGTTCCACGTCCGGATTTCCTACGGAAGCACGGCAGCCATACCATGTTGGTGAGCTTTAATAAGACGAACCTCCGACCGCAAGTCTTACCATTTTAGTGAGGACACAACAGAATAGTTGCATCGGGACAATGGAATGACTCTTCACTCAACAATGAAGTAAATGTGAACTCCGAAACTACCGCACTTAAATACCTGTCTAAAGATTGCAGTTAACGTCCGAGACACAACCGATCAAACTGGATTTATACATCAGTAAAAATAGCGCTTATGGTATGCCATTACAAGGCCTCGAGTTGCTCTGCAGAATTCACTTTTTGGATGCATCAACCTTCTGTAGATGGCTTCACAGCGGCGAACTTTGACTTGTGATGATAAAGTGCATAGCCGCACATTTTTAGCAAACGCCGACCTGTATTAATAACGTCTCTAAAATCTAGTGACATCCTCCCCTTCCATACTTGCTTGTTACAACCATTCTTATGTAGAGCTCGGTTGTGAAAAAATGGGCCACTTTATAGGATAACAGCTAATAAATACTTCCACAGCCAAAGCCCCTACACATTTACAAAATCTGACAGACAGAGTGAACTCATTTGCCCAGTTTGCGTTACCCACTATTTTCCTTCCACATTGCCAACCAATGTCAGTCCAACTCCAACTTTTCATCAGTGGAATCTGTATTCAAAGGTCCGATCCATATTCCTACGGCCGCTTTCGCAGCTTTTCGGCAACTGCGTTCCTGAGAGCTGGTTGTGGAAACCTTGCGTAGCTTCAGAAATTGAGAAGTAAGAAATTCTTGGAGCTCCCAATTCTGTTGATCACAAGAGATACGTTGCGAGAAGCAAAGGATTCCTGCACCTCAAATATATCTTGGCCGTGTTAGGTTAAGCGATTACGATCACGTTGAGCAATCGTGGTGCGCGGGTTTCAAAATCAAACCTTTTCATCCTGTACATACATATGAGTTCAACGTCAAACCTAACGCCTTCTCCTCACAAACCATAACGTTTAGGCATTGTCCAAAAACATCTTGTAGCATCTTTAAAATTCTAACAAGCTTTTCGATGGGCTTGGCCAGGGTAAAATTTTCGGATGCTTTTTTCAGAGCAAGGGTATCACGTCTGCGAAGATAAGGGCTGACTCATGCGGTATTTTTGAAATTTCGTTTGTGCCATCCTGACCGAAATACTGATCAACCGATCGCCATGGTAACTACATACAGGGGGAATTATTTTGTTGGCGTACGTCTCGTGAATCGAGAATCCCCTAAAAGCTGACGTTTAAGTGACCTCGTAAAAGTTGTTAAGCTGATGAATTAGACTTAAAATATTGCTCTGTGTCCCTACCAGACCACATATGGTAAAATCCCAGATTGTTATGCAATACAAAACTATATTAGGATTGTTGGAGGACTACCAAACTGACATTTGTTGACCATTACTGACCGTTATTACAACTTCTTTGGAAAGCACGAAGTTCTTCAAAATTACACAAGGGATGTCAGGTTTTCCTTTTTGCTATGGATTTTAAAAACTTCATCCAAGCAAATAACATCGAAAATTTTGCAAAATCCTAACATATCAGTGTTCCGCACACGTCTAACATTAAACTTTTCTGTAAACTTTAGAGACCTTTCCAATTAGAAAATAGACAAGAAGTACATGCTTTTCACATTTTATCTGAACGTGCTTGCCTGCTTCAAGGATGCATTTGCAAGAGCTGACAGATCTGTTATTTTCGTACATTAAGAGATTTGTTCTCCGATTTCATCTCCTGCTGAGCAAAAATTATTTAGTTGCATTTACGGCGAACACATTCAAGATTAAATCAAGCATTGATCTTATAGTTTTGTCACAGCATGTACTTCGGAGCCACACATTTGCTAAAAACAGCAGAAACACTGGTGGTAAACCACCAACATCGGTGAGTTGTGTGATCAAATTTTTTTCAGCTTTTTTCAACTTTCATTTGTGTGCCTTGTACATTAACCTAAAATCGATGTGCTCAACAGATTAGCATAGCTTGTTGACACTGCAAGGTGCATGAAATTTCCCTGGTTGCACGTTTTGCAAGAAAGTGTTACAGAAAGAAGCTTTTGAACCTTTGACATTTTACGCTGTTGGAAACTCGACTTTGGAAGTAGATTTACTCGGGAGAATACTCAAGCGTCAACAATTTCAGCAGTTCAGTTGTTAACCAGCAATTCTGCGGGAACTTTCTTTAGACATGAAGCCCGCAGGTAAGAATGATGCCACAATACAGAGCAGCTTGTGTAATTTGCTAGGTATGAAATCGCTATACAGGCATCCACACATTTTGTTACCTAAACCTTTCAGACGAGTAACCTCTTAGTTGACAAAGCAACAGATTAGCTGAGTTAAGTTGTTAATGCATAGAATTTTCTCAAAATGTTTGGCCTGCGTGTCACTGAAAAAATTCATCACAAAAGTGGAAACCCTTTCGGATGAGTACAGTCGTTAAACGTATGAAGAAAATACTATATAAACGAAGCTGAGTACAGAAGGAGTATCCACAATCAAGCAAAAACACTACTCTTAGCATTTAAAGTCGTATTAGTTCACGCGTAATAATTTAAAATAAACAAAAGCTATTTTTAGTTGGCCAGCAAGTGACGTGAAACTCTCATTAGAATTAAACATAGTGGGAATGCGTCCATCTATCTTCCCATCTGCCCACTTGTTGTTTGCCTCGCTAACAATCCACTCACCTAGCTCTTCATTTATCTATCTATCTATCTATCTATCTATCTATCTATCTATCTATCTATCTATCTATCTATCTATCTATCTATCTATCTATCTATCCACTTACCTACCTACCTAATTACCTACCCATTTATTTCATCTCTTTATCCAACTCCTTCCTATCTATCCATAAGCCTCGACCATAACTAGAATACATCCCCAGCTCGTTTCCATTACCGAAAACCAAAGCGCATACCATTTTACTTCTTCCATGCCTTGGGCTCAGCATTCCAATAAGCGAGGCTTCTCACAGTCAGGAAGTTGAATATAACGAGAATCCCCTAAAGATCTCTCACTTTATCATCTGGAGGCCCATTCGGGAAATGCACGTAGTATTCGAGATACCGTTAGATAAATCCCCCAATGGAACTACTCCAAAAATTGTCGAGCATTTTTCAGCAGAAATATGAGCAGTCGACCCCCGAATTATTTGCGTTCTTTACGAATCTATGTCAAAGCATACCTAATTAATAATGATTAAGATGCAAGCACAGTCGAGTATCTGGAATATCCGTCCACGTCAGTCGTACGACTTCAGAAAAAAAGTCAAAATTATCCGGTTATGGGATCCATTTACACAGAACGGAATTAGGTGGAGCAAAGAAAGCTCAGCTAAAATAAGTTTTTCGCACACACTGTCACTCAGCAGGCAGCTGTACTTGAACAGGTCATGTGATCACTTCGCGATTTCAGCTTCACGATCACATGTTCACCAACGGGACTTTCCCCGAATTTGATGTCAATTTCAGTTGCTTGATAGTTCTAGTTTCAGACACTTGTATAAGGCTGTGGACATGGTAAGAAAACTCCTTTCCTTTGCTGTCTAAAACTCAGGCAAATTGTATATCCTGGCGTTTTATTGAAAAAATACGACAATATTTTTAAAAAAAATCATATTGATTTCATGAGCGGCAAGATCAGGACAGATTTTTTCGCTAACATGCAGCAAAGCCAGCATTTTCCGGCTCAGGAATTATCTATGTCCAACTAAAGTCTTTGATTAAATCGACGCAAATTTGCATTTTAAATAGAGAGATAAAGAATGATCCAGATGTGGCGGTGTTTTTTGAGCGCACAAATAAACGAATAACTCTCCGCACTCAGGCTAAGGACAAAAAGGAACAATAAGTCATTTTGGTGAAGACTGATGCAAACGAACTGGCTGTCAGTAAATCATTGTACGGAAAACGGTAATGTATGCAAAATGTTAACCCACGCGTTACTATTCCACGCATAAATCGATTAAAGCACCGCAAACCTCACTTATAAAGCCATATAAAAATTTACCTTGACACCATTACCTCAAAATCTGAAGGGTCAAGAACTAATCGAAAATGCAAATACATATGGATTCTACAACTTTGAGTGGCAACAGTTCACAGCTGGATCAAAATCTAGAAACAATCCCTCCAATATAAACAGATGATTATGCATACAAAAAATTTCGTTCGGCGCTCCTTCCGAAAAGAAAACACGTGAGATATTACGGCTAGTACGACTTAGTGAGATGCATTAGTAAAAACAGAATCAGCACTTGTAGGTTAGGTGAGCCTCGAAACTTGACATTTAGTCAGATTTGTTTTGACTAGGTGCCCGGTTATCTGTTCGTTGAGCATGGGAATAAGCTTGCAAACTTTTCCCTCCAGTAGAAGAGACATTGTCAGTGCGCAGTTGATACAAAAGATCAACGGAAGCCTACACTCTATCACTCATTAACGCAAAACGACTATTTTTCTCTTATTTTTCAAGTCACTTTTGCGTACTCAAGACTAAAGTGTTAGGCAAGACGCATCGAAATAATACTCAACATATTTAGCAGAGCGTGACTATCAACGTATGTCGTGGCATGTCCGCATTCCGACGTCGTCATAGATTTCAGACAAAAACATGGGTCATACAGTGGCGGTAGTCGATGTTGTTCGATTCTCTCAATAAGATATTTTCAGGTAAATTCAGACATAATGTAATCGGATGGGCGTTCCAACTTTCCTCAGGCCTTACCAAAATTCTGAAGTATACTCTGAAATGGAGCATTAGCGGAATACTGAAAGCGACCTTGGCGAACAATCAGAGCTACCTTCACACAAAACAGTTTAAGAGTTACGGCTCCAGAGATCATAATTGTTTTGTCTTATCGCGCTTCAAGGATATATTCAGTCAATCACGTCGTTGTCTGTGTGATCGGCTGTGTGTTCACTCTCCCATGAGATAAGGCTTTTGTGAAACTCCATATAAGAGCTTTCATGTCATGATACCGAGCTGTCCATAAATCATCAGTGTTATCAAGAGCATAACATCACTGTTCATCACTGATGCTTGGCTCCCATAATATGCTTGCAAGACTAATTTTGAGGAAAAGAATGACGTTGGACGGGAAAAGGACTTAAGATCAGCCTACTACTACAGTCATTCCCGGATGCTTACACTCATTCAGGAAATCCGGATAGAAACTCACAAGAAGAACGCCACTGACATAGCTTAACAGCCCTATCTTCCAGCGTCTCTAACCAGGCGTACGGGTGATCACATGGCCCCGATCCTGGAAGGCGAGTCGCACCAACAACTTCCAGACGTTTTGTAATCTCTTTCATTCTCCTATACCAGATTAAAAGGTTACCCACCTATCTGCTTCTCCCAATCCAAATCGGACACAGAAATCATTACCCTTTTGGGCTCGGCATCCTCGCTGTGAAAACGGAGTCTAAGGAAAGCGTTAAGTTTTTATCAGAGCACCTTACAAAACTGATTTAAAACCATTGACCAGGTAATTTTAAAATATAATGTTTTATTAGTAATCCATTTTTCGGAATTTTCAATCGTTAAATCTTAGTAAGGATTGAGTTTCTGACTCATCAGCTTCCGTTACCTTGGGAAAAGTCAATTTTAGGGTAAAATAAGCGTTCATGTTCCCAACGAACGTCAACTCGCATATTTTGAGAAAAGTATTATAATCCCACGTTCACATCATTCTCATCTGGACAGTCCCACTCCTGTTCTGACGCAATTTTTTTGAGTGACAACCGAAAATCAGGGTGTTTAAATGCAGTTCTCTTCTCATTAAAGTTCACCAAAATTGACGGAATCTGAACTCCGGAAATGCGAGGCAAGGGTGTTATCTTCAGTGTATGCCAGACACATCCAAATCATCGCTTGGAAAGGGTGAACCTGGTTACGTTTGTGTGATTTGAGTAGATTAGGAGAATACAAGTGTGAATCCCATCGTTGCGGAATGTGAATAAAACGAAATTTAAAGACATACTTTGAATCCGCTTAAGTTGAAGCCTCAAAAAACCGCTTAAAGCTCTATAACTTTTGGCTAGTCAGCGCGAATTCCCTGTGTTTATCCTAATTGATAAAGAGTGAGTTACTTATACTGTTTTTTACGGATAAATTTAAACTACTGTCTCTTTCGGAGGGGTTTGGTAAATAATCGATGGATTTATTGCTGGGCAATGTTTCGCCTTTGACATACTGCGATACCTGGAATATCGTACCAGCTACATGAAGCGGACTGTGTGCAAGATGTTTAGTTGAAGAAATCATAAACGGAAAATCAGTTGAGTCTCTTGTGAAAGCCAAATTGATTTGCAAATGAGTGTCTTTCTCGAAAACGGTCCAATCTGGGTTCAATTAGAACATAAAGTTGACGAAAACTCGAGGACTGTGCCTACCTGATGAACCCCAAGAAGGACGAAACCAGTCGTGGGCTGGAAGAGTTTTCGGTAAACTTGTGAGTAGTTTCCTTTACTTTCGATGGCTCTACCCTAGAGTCAATAGGCTAGCCTAAATGACCTACCGTGCGAATGAATCGGTGAAATTTCAAGTGCCTAATTCTGACGTAACCTCATTAGCTATATCAAACCAGTAAGTCCAACAAGGGCTAATTTTGTCGCAGAGTAACCGAGCCCGGTGACACATAACTTCTTTTCTGCAGCTTCAATTACTAGTGAGGATGCTCCAATATTGCACGCAATTTAGCGACACTGTAACTTCAGTCTCTTGGAACGACACTTCTATTCCGACCGAATAGGACGGTAGGTATATAGGTTGTTCGTGATACTGCTCTTTAGTTATACGAATAACAGCTTGGGCCCTGTCTGTCGACGGTCTACACGGACAGTCTTATATCCGGATATGTATATTGCCGATTGGGTTTCACTGTCAACGTAGCTAAACGTATATCCACGATGTCTGGCTGGGATGAACTCACGATCGGTATCCTTTTATATCATCCGACCATTTTCAATCTGATCCTTCTAAATGCTGTTTAAGGCGACAATGGAGGAAAAATCAGCACTGTGGAATCAGGTATTAGGACGACTATTTTCAAAAACTTGTTTTATGGATGTCGTGAGTCAGTTTTTAGGGGACGTGTTAGGGAATCAGACTACCTCTAATCCAGATTAAATTCAAGTATGGTTTGTAAAGCTCCTAGCTAAATTTCTGTCGAACGCTGGCCACCATCGTCAGTCTCTTATAAATGGTGACCAACCTGTGAAGCTGGTCAATAATCCGGGTAATAACCAGCCGATTGGTCCCACGTTCATTCTGTCGAAACTAACAAAGGATTGAATGGCTCATCGCTTTCAAGGCAGTAGACTTCACTTGCCAGAGAATGCTGGTTTCGGCAAAGGAAGGTCATGTGTTCAGAATCTGCTGCTGGCTCAGGCACTTGATGCTAGTTCTAAGGTCGACGGCTTATTCGTTCATTTGAGCAACGTATTGGATCGGATAATCCGTCAGTGACTTTGTCAAAGATTTTCCATGGGCTGGTCCGAAAAAGCCAGTATCTAAGACATAATTTGGACACGTACAAACAGGGCCCAAGTCAGGTCTGGCCCAACTCAGTGTCGATTACATGAAGAAAGTGCCTTCCACAAAACTGTTCAAGTTTTATTTGAACGACCTTCCGTTCACGCCCTGTCTTTCCTGTCTTGTGTTTGTAGATGATTCAAATACGCATATGGGAGTTAAAAGTGACGACAGCGTCATATTCCATGCAGTTTCCTGCTATGTGAATCATTACCTGGTAGGAATCGACTCCAGCTGAATAGTTTTTTAGCTAGCCCATCAGCGCGATTTTCGTGGGTCCAGATAGCTTATTGGTTACTCTACAAGATAACCAACCTGAAAGTCCAGGCTTCAAAACAAACACTATCATTTCGACTGCTCTTATTCAGGTTTGGGCAACATGGCAGTTTCTCAACTATCGTGTTTTATTCGGGCAGCATCGATACTAGGAAACAAAGAGGATATCACAGCTGAGCGCCTAGTATTGTATTTCATACTGAGACAGACACTTTTGGAGGGGAATTGAGCAGTCGTATTGACATCATACATCAAGTCCTTTAAAGATCCATCAGAAGAACGGTTACTGTACTCAGGCTAATGTGGTCCAGGCGGATCGTTCGCCAAGCTGATTTCAGGTCGCTTTACCTCTTATCGTAGAGGACGACATATTCAAGAAGCCCAAGAGAGAAAACCCAGAATTTTGGAGTTTCAATAATATCTTTTACCATATGTATAAAAGTATATATTTGAAGGAGGTACAAAACACAAAGTACAGGAATTTCTGACCAAATTGTTGCGCGGTTTGATACAAATAAAAAGAATGTCTCAAAAATACTGCAGAGTCAGCAAGCCAGCAGGAAACGGTCAATCGATTTGAATTAACACATACGCGGGATGCCTGACAACTAAGTGTTCAAGAACCCAAGTAGAAAGCTTACAAAAATCGCTCAGACAGGTCAAGGGTCAAATGTTTGCGGAGATGACGGGTCCAAATCAAATGTGTACGGTAAACGCAAACAACAGTGTGTCCAGGCAAAGAGGGCGCTTGAACGTGGGAAAAGGGGAATGCCACTCCATCAGAGTCAGCTTTACTCCGAATATGGATACCCGGCCGTTTATGCAGCCACCAAATCAAGGTAAGCAACTGTGGAACAGGTTCACAGCTAGGATAATCTTCTTGGTGAGCTTTCGAAACATTAGCTGAGAGCAAAATAAGGATTCTGGATGTATCTTCGATGTATTAACATCGGAAGAAAGTACACCTCCTATACAAGGAAAACAGGCTTAGAGTTGAAGGAGTATTTCGCTGTCATTGACAGCTTAAAAGTCCTAGGACGTTCGCTCAAGTTGTATGATCATAAAAAAGTTTGTCTGAGGAGGAGGATAAATAGTCATTGGAGAAGTCCGCTGGAAGGGATATTGACTGCAAAATCGGTGGAGATATTTAAGGAAGAATTGGTAGCTCAGTTTTACCAAAACCACCGCTGATTATGACTTCGGCCACCTCGAGCGACGGCGCAGACTAGTTGATCGGCTGACCGGTAAGCCAAGGCAATTTACACATGTTTACCCATAAACTTACAAAATGACTGATTGACTGATGAATTCGACTAATTAAGATGACTGCGTTATATAGCTGGGATGCCTTCAAGGACGTCGGGCAAAATTGAGGCATAATCGTGTACCCACTCACAGTCACAATTTCATTTTTCGCACATTCGTCCTTAGTTGAAAAAGGCGGTAATTATCCATATACAGGGTGTGCAGGGTATTTGTGTCGAACACGTCGGGATAGAAATGCGAAGATTCTATTTGCCGAAGGGAGTACGAAGTTGTTGACTCTGCTTAAAATTGGTCGATGGAAATAGATCGCGCAGTGATCTGTGATGCAGCTGCTAACAGCAACACGTGCAGCTAGCCCACCCATGCAAAGTAAAGTCAAATTCGGATGCCAAACTGGTTGTATTGTAGTCCGTGAAAGTTGGTTTGTTCAAAAAAGTATCCAGTGTATCGAATCATTGTATTGTGGATCATGGACTTTCAGTCGTACCGGCTGTTTTTTGTTACAATGAACCAAAAGGTAAATGAGCCCGACGTGACTCGAACACGCAACCTTCTGATCTGGAGTCAGACGCGCTACCATTGCGCCACGAGCTCACGCACACACGTCTGTTTAACGTTATATTGGAAAGCGGATGCATACGCACAGAACTGGCGCACACACACCAGTTGAAACCATACGATATTTCAAAACGTTAGTCCAATCAAAGCCACTAGCTTTAAAATAACAGCCCATCTGGTCTAAATTCTTCTGGTCAACTGTCAGCGGAGAGCATGTGTAAATTTCTAGTACACATCTGATTTAACGGATCCGTCTACACAAACCAATTGGTGATTGTTTTCGATTTTATGTTTCCGGCTGTTGTTTTGCCTCACCAGTTGACCTCATTTAAGATTTTATTACACCCGAAGAAAAATAAAGGATATGAATGAGTCATGGTCATTGACCATGTGGAAAGTGTAGGGTACACGTTCGTGACAAGTAGAAATATTAAATCACTTCAGAGAGACACCTGGTGAGACATAACCTAGTAATAAATACAAAAAAGAGTAAAAACATGTATGTATTTTTGGATGTGGGATGGCTGATTATCGGCACGTCAGCATGCCGCTGATATCTTGCATCTGAAAGTGTCATCCGGAATTACACGAGTTTGCGAGAGGTTTCCGGTTCATTTTTTTCGCCCAGAGGTGCATAGGGGAAATTTGGCGGAATGATGCCGGAGTTAGATCTGCTGAAAATCTTTCAGAATTCACCCCATCGCAGTGTATGACATACAGGGCAGGACTCAACTACTGGAATATTTTCGCATAATTTTACCTACCTTGTCAAAATTGTCCGTTTTTTTTCAAAACGCGAAACCCTCCTTGATATAAGTGGAAGTACAGCACGTTGACTATATCTTGTCCATACAAATTAAAGACCTTAAGCAATCCTGATTGGAAGTGAACAATTTCGGATAATTTCGTGTTCACATATGCTGCAATTGACGTATTTTCCTGCGTACAATCTATGCAAGTGGAATGGCAAAAAAAATCGAATCAAACTAATAAATTGACCACAACCACAGATTTGGTTGAATCACCTCACTTACAACAGAAGTTGCACCATTTCCCTGGCTGTGAGTTTTATAGAGTAACATTCAGATTGATTGGGGAATTCTGTGAGATTAGGAGCCTCCATTATGAGCAACGCTTTGTGTGCAATTACAATGAAACATGTCGTATTCCAGCTCACATCTCCTAAAACAACAAACACCTTACAAACAGGTGGATATAGTTTGTCAGTTCTAACAATTTTCGTAACTGATAGCTGGCTTTCCATCGAGAACAGCCCATCGCCACTCTTATGGTAGTAGTTTAGTAGATTTGTGAATTTATGTGCTATTCTTGATATGAAGGCTTGGGTCAAAATTGGTGGTCGACTCATCGATTTCAACTGACTCCTTGTATATTGAACCTACAGTACAGTAAAGATTTAGTGATATGTTGGCTGTCAAGCGGCCAAGAGAAAATGTAAACATGCAAAAATGTTTTTTTAAATCACTCAGCAAGTACTTGACCTCGAGATGAACAGACTCCCCGTTTCTAATCAAGATTATCTGATACACTTGAAAGTTGCTCAACCCATTCCTTTAATACTGCATGCGAATGGTGAACTTGCAGGTACGATTCTTGGTCTTAACTGGTCCAAACAATCGATCAGGACAAATGACGAATCACCACAAACTAAACGATAACGGTCAAATTATGGGCTTGGAACTCAATAGACTGTTATCAAGGGAGAAACGATCTAATCCCAATTAGATTAGCTAGATGACACGCCTTTTTGCATTTTTGGATCTTATGGGTCATCCATGTAACGCTTTCTTGATGATTGGTTAGCTGCCTACATGATGATCATGCGCCGTTTGGCCGACCGCTGGAAGCTACCAATGTGATCCGGTATGAATCATTTTGTAACCAGACAATCAGGTCTCCTAATTCATTAGATAATTAATCTTCGAGAAAGATACAAAGATTATGGACCCTCCGTGGGGATCAGTAAGTTTTTATTACAATACAGTGGTAATAGAATCTTTCCAATCCTTTTTAAATCTGTGGAATGACAAAGAGATTGTAAAAACCGCAGGCGCTGGTGACTGCCGAGTGTGGTTTTATGAACGAAACATGATGTACGGATTAAAACACCGTCAAAGGAGAGCATGGAGAAACCGGACGTTACTGTGTCCCTTGGATAGGAAAGTTAAGTCTTAAGTGTTAAATACCTAATTATGTGCTTGTAGGTGCATACTGATTGATGAGACCGCCTGGGATATTTTTAACAGGCAGTTAAAGCAAGAAACGACACTGTCAAAACAGCTGGTCAGCCTGTAAATTATCTCAGTCACTTCCAAAACTTCTAAGGCTATTTCCCCCAAAATTTATTAGAAAGTGTCAACGATACAAGAAACAACCGATTTTCAAACCTGATCATCAAGTCGTTTTGTCATTAGGCTCTTCCACCGCAGCTGTAAATGAGCAGATATATCCTAAAGCAAATATCTCTGCTTGCCAGAAGTGGGCAGAATTAACAAATGTTCGATTGCAGATAACGATCGCAGGATATGTTGTAAACCACCTAATCACTGATTTTCAGTCAGAACAAACTTTACCATAGTGCAGTCTGACCTAGATCACTGTCCTTCTCTTGCTAGGTTCTACTTGCAGGTTCTAGGTTACCAATAAGTCCTACAGGTTTCAGTAATGGGTTCTAATAGGTTCTACTAGTAGGCTGCCGAGGCAGCTAAAACACGACTTGCATATTTTCTTAAACTGTCCTTGGGGCCTTTGATAAAGCTCACTCAGAAGTCAGATATAACGGTCCATTTTTCAAGCTTCCTTTCAAGGAAGACCAACATCCTCTTTCCCAGTTAAAGCAACTTTACTTCAGCCGTCAAACATTTGGCTTGAAATTGATGCTCCTTTGCAGGCCATTATCTTTGGGTGTCCTCGTGAAGTAGCCTTCTTCAAAACATCTACAAGGGACCAATTTGTTAGGATGAAAAAACGAGCATTAGTCACGCAACCAGATAGCTACATGAGCCACAAAATTTAGGGGCGATTAAGTGATTTGGTGGTAGCACAAGTCAGTTTGCAATAAAATATTTACTTATCCCTGCTTGGGAACTACTATCCACGAACCCTTGGCTTTGAGCGAAGGCGAGCATGAACCGTGCCTCCTAGGATAACTCAGCACGTTATAGAAAGATTCGAATTTCCTATTTTTTCCGACAGGTAAATTGTAATAATGAGGACGATATTTTGCACGTAAGCATAGCATAATATAATGTGTTATTCGTTTGATTATGCCCTCTCTTATTGAGGTCTTCCGAAAATCTTGGGCCGAGTGTAATATAAAAATGATGAACAATATTGGAGAGTGATGAGTTTACCTGAATGACGATGGAAATAAGAATCCACAACAGTTCGAAAATTTACAGACAGATGTATGGTTTATAAATGAATGCTTCATTTGTAGATATTGATCAGCGCCGGTCACGAGGTGGCTTGTTTTTTGTAGAGGAACATGTGTTAACGCTGATGTTCACTGAATATTTGCAGGCTGAATGCGTCTGGGCTGCGATAATAGTACGAGGAAAATTATTTTGCCGTAATCCGTGGTGAAAAATTCACTTTCCAGAGATGGTGCATAGGCTAGGAAAGACCAGACCAATCCTTAAGAGAAAGTTTTTCAATGGATCAAATCTCGATACGTAATGAGTTTGCCCAATAAAAAGATTTACTTTCTCGTGGTTAGGGATGTGTGGCTGAATCAATCCTCATCGCATGACAAGAGAATGGGAAGAGAATCTAGGCAAGGCTTTCAATTTCCCTAGAGACAAACGCCGATGTTTTGAAGGGTGCTAACGCATTAGCTATTTTGATTATAAGCTTTACGACGAAGCACTGATCCATCTGTAGGTCGCATTTACGTCTCGATAGCGTTTTTCAACAAGTCCGGAGTCTCCACGGTCAATGTTAAATTTGACCGAAAGTCCTATGGTGGTGAGCTACTGTGCACTTAGCGCCTTTACCGGACTGTCTTAGTAGTGTGTTGTCTAGATTTCAACCAAGATTTTCATATACCTATTATGACATTTCACTTCTGACATTTTTTCAGAGGTCGAATGAATCCCGTTCAGGTATGCAGCTGGTGAAACCTGGTATATGTAGCCTTTAAAAGTGCTCATCAGTGATGTGAATTTAATGCATTTAACACCACAAGACTGCACTTGGTTTAATTTATAACTTCTGTAAGTTTTAGGTGTCAGGTATGTTTTGTTCGAATAGCCGTGTAATAAGATGCATGGTTACCGCATTAATGATGTGATGTTAGACTGATTACCAACAACAGGCAACATAGTGTAAACGATTAACTGCAATAACTAACTCGCGTGATTTTGACTTACATGCCGATTGAAGCACTCGATTCTTATAGCGATGCTGGCGAGCACCTTCACTTTGAGTTGTGCAATCTACCTCAAGTAAATCGCTGTTGGGTGACTAAAACTACTGTGCAACCGCGTGATAAGGGATAAGCTAACGCACTTCTACATTAGAACCTAGTTTTTTGGGCCATTTAAACTCTGTGGATGAACATTGTGTCGCGCAACAACTTGCCCTGTTTCAGCAGCCCGTTTTATGGTAAATGTTTATGCGCGCGTTAACAGATGAACAAAACGTTACAAACTGCCTTACGCAGCATACATATTTGTGTCTTGAACACATCTTGGATTGCAGGGGGATGCATCTCGATGATCATATCTGCGATGATTGCATGGCGAAAGCGATTCAGGGAGAAAATTGTCCATCATATTGGTAAAAATTGGTTATCATGCCTTCTTATACTTGCACCCCAGAGTGCGATAAACATCTTCGTTTCTTTGCCGTTCTTTCAATAAGAGGAAGGCCATTACTATTATCCAGACTCTGAAAGGACTGTTTTCCTGATAGTCATAAATATCAAGTGGATTTTTCTGGTTTCACATAGACATTTGTCGCGAAGAGTGAGTTAAACCAAATGTAAATACATGACGTTAAATTCCATCCACTTAAGACCTGATATGAAAGCGCACTGAATGAAAATCTGCAAAACTGACGTTTTTTAGGATGAGTGCGCCGAAAGTCCTAAAACGTTCCCAATAAATGCTTGTAGACCGAATGATTAAATGTTCAGTGTCAAAGTTGAATATCATAATAAATTCAAGTACATTTTATGCTACGGCCTTATTGACAACCACATCAAGAACAATAAAAAATATTAGTGCCAAAAAACATAGAGCATCGGTCTTAACCCTCCACTGCTACACTTCACTCCAGTGAGTCTATGGTGCAGGGAGTGACCATTTGTACAACGAACCTATTCTTCCATGGTAACTGAAGTTTCACGGTGCGGTTTTGCAACCTGATTTTTTAATTGAAATAGCATTCGGTGCAATGCCTTACTGTCGTCTGTAGTCACTAGATTACAAAGCTTTAACGGGAAACCTTGTTCTCCCCTTGATTAGTTTTTATCCACGCCAAAATCGCACTATTTCGGTGCGTGGCTCCGTTAAGCTCTTTTCCCTAGGTTTTGTTTTAAGAGCCAAAATCAAAAATAAATCATCTATGTTTGAGTGAATTTTTCTCTAATACAGTTAGCATTCTATACAGTTGTTGCGTCATGCACACGTGAATGCCTCGAAAGCAGTTTGGAAGGAACGTATTTCAACCACTTATCTCTTAGCATCATAGCAGTTCACTTCAAGCGTAACTGTGTGTGCACCACTGGAATGTCAAGACGAAGTAGATAAGGCAGGGGCATAGAACAATATAGGTGGTTTTTTTGGAAAAAGGAACAGGTTGTTGAACCAAAGAACGGTTACACGGTTGAAAGCACAAGACGGTGATGAGATTGCGGATGCGCGAAAATTTGGCATACGTTAAAGCTGAACCTATTTTTAAATGAGTTGCGCCGAATTCGGTAGGGGCGAATTTGCAGTTCTAGCAGATTCTGGTTCATCTAATTAAGAACCAATTTGTTGCATAGTGATTTGCTTTGTAAACTGTGAAGTCGATTTTAGAGTAAGCCACTTATCTTCTGTGGTTTGTTCGTCTGTGGTTCTAGTCAAACTCACTTGAGGAAATCCTTATCGCCTGAGGAAACAACAGTATCTCTGGTTTCATCTGTGGGCCAGTTTTTGTAATTTGCATGTGATTTTTACAGCCGCCATGAATGTACAAACTAGCAGGTGGTAAGCCTCTGTTCGGTTGGTTTATTATTTTGCTGAAATAAATTGCTTATCCAAGTTAAACCCCGCAAGAATAACCTGAGCTATTCTGATTGCCGAATAAGTGCTATTCCAGGCATCAGATACAGATGCCCAGTTGGTAGTCGAGTCAATACTGCAGTTAGATCAGGCAGTTCTCATGATTATTCAAGCAGGTGGACTGCACTGAATGATCTGGTGTTGGCTCGCATTGCAGCCAGTGTCATGCCAACTGCAGCCCAAATTATGTGATGCTTTCCAGCGATGTTTCCAAAGAATCTAATAGCCTTTTTTACCATGATCGTATAAAGGTCGATACTATGTCCTGCATAGGCTCTTGGCCCGCATGGACACGTGACACAATACAACTATATGAATATATACCAATTCTACTATCGCTCCTAAAATTAAGAATAACTTTTCAATCTTTGAACAAGTTCCCGCTGAGAAATAATTCGGTATAATTTATTAGACAAAGCACCTTGTTCTACAACGCTCTTTGGTACTACCTCCACCTTTGTATATTTCCTTCCAAACTTTTCAAGGAAAAGTACATGGGGAGTGAAAATATGTAGGACGTATTTCTAATTACTCGTTACTTTTACGCCTATGTAATCAACCTCAGAGTGCCCACTGATGAATTGGCTGTCCATTCAAGATGAGTATTTTCCATGTTCACTTCAAATGATGGTTCTAAATAGGCTCTTGTATGTATGTCAATTTCTCCCACCTCTTCGATCATATATTGAATTTTCCTTTGCTAACACTCATCTTCGTACGAACCTGTGCACATATGCTTAGTGGATTGAGCGCACTGAAGCCCGCTATGATCGGAGGCAGACACAGTCATCCAAATGAACCGCCATTAAGTGAGGCCTCTCATAAACACAGCAGCACCATATAAGAGATTTGAGTAGTTCAGTTAGGGTTGGTTCTACCGGGCGCTGTCACTCAAAAGTTCGGGAACAAACTTATTAGCATCGGAAGGTTCCAGAAGTTGCTCATACTGACTGTGCTTTTCTTAGAGAGGTTGGACGGACATACAATCCTTGTTTGGAGAACCTGGTGGACACCCCGACCATTCATTTTTGACCCAGGTACAAAGCGCCAGCACAATTGAAGTACAGTTGACGTCAAATTCACTTTCGGTCTTTGCTAAAATAAACACAAACCAAATTCCCTGCTTTTAGGACCACTCTTATGCACCTGAATCTCTGGTCAAAAGCTCAATTTCCACTAGACAACAAATGCAACCAATGTCTGAAGTAGTTGAATTAAATTATATCTTCAGCCTTCGATGAATCAGCTGCATCCCAGGGTCTTCTTCGTTAACCAAAACTGACGCTTTTGTTAGTTCTGTTACCCCGATTTCCAAACCGGCATGCACACTTTTCCCAAAAACTTAGAAACCGTTCCCGAAATTAGTTCACCATTCACGCAACGGGAAAAAATGGTCTAACGAACAGTTCGGCAAATTAAAGTGGTGGTAATTTCTTTCTCGGGAACAACAACGCTGGGTGATTACGTACTAAGATCTTGTTTCAGAGTTAAACAAGTACGTAACTCTCCACTCACTGACGGTAGATTTCCATGCCTATTTAATAAACAATTTCTTGGCTTTTACAAATCACCTAACAATCGGTTATGATATAGGGTGGTTTGTAGCACGTATTTAAAAGCGAATCAAAATTCATTTATCTTTTTTCAAATAGTGCTAGGGATAAACGTGCCCCCCAACATGTTTAGATATGCAATCCATCTCCGTTGAGGAGCAGGTTCCTCAGAAAGCCGAATTCTATTTCAAACTCTTACGGAACAGTAGGTTCTGCTTACGCTCTTAAAATCCTGTCTGATTCGTCCGGTAGTGATGTCCGTTTGTGTGTACACTGTATCCTTTTCCCGAAACTAAGCAACTCATCAGTGGGTACACATGACACTCGATGTAATGAATGCAAGCGGAGTTTCAAGATTTGGGAATAGATCATGTTTGGCTGCGGTTGATCTGGAAACAGGACTAATGAATGACATTTTGGCTGTTCACGCTGCCTTGTGTTGATTTGTGGACAATGTTTTTGGGCAGTTCCAGCGGGACAAACTAAGATCCTCATTAAAACGAAACAAGTTTCCGAAGGCTAGTTTCTAGAACAGTGCGAGTTATGTAATTATCTTTGGGCAACTGGCATCCAGGATTGAAAGACAACTGGCACACTGCAACAACACTAATGACCACGCGTTTTGTCCGTCTCTCAGGCCAAAGCACATGATTGCTAGCTGAATGCGTGACTCTGTGCCTCTTATTTTACATTAACAGTGAAGCCAGGTCTACCGCGTTTTATTAGTTGTCTGGCATACGAAGTCGCTGCAATATACTGAAATCTGAGTTGGAATTAATAGTACCCCTGACTATAGCACCCGATTATGGAGGTTTCCTACATAGAACACACAACTGCTCAAAGGATTCTGACATTTTTTGGCCGAAGATAAAAACCAGCTGATTTTAAGCCGGATGGCTTCAGATCAACTGTGAGGTAAGTGTTTTATATCACTGACGACACACTACGAATTGTTAATTCGCTGTCTTTCAGTATATCGAAGGTGCCATCCAAGCACACGACTTAAACGGACAAATTTCCCGGTTTGAGCTTAACCATTCTGACTCACTCACTGTGCGACAGTGCTTTAGTGGATTGTTCCAAGCTTCCAATATCGGTTCTCCACACTGTGAAACGAAGCTGCCTGCTTTGAACCAATGACTGGTTTGACCCTAGTTGAATTCACAACGACGGGTAAGCCAGGCAGTCCAGCAATCCTTTGAATACTTCTCTATAGTGCACTGATAGTGGCCATTTTTCTCAGGAAAACATGAAGAAATTTCCTATACTCGCGGCGTTATTACCAAAAGCATTTGTCATTTTCAAAATGGTAGTACACATGTCAGTCATTTTTAATTGGGTGTTTGTACATTTTATGCTGGCGGTATTACAAATCGGATCATTGACTAGTCGAAGTCGAACCTAGGTAGTACAGGTTCGTTTATTCGCCTAAAGAATTTTAAATCGTCTTCACAACAGAGGAGAAAGATGTTGTGTCTATTTGATCGTGTTGGCAGGTTTTAGTTTTGATCACTAGCATTACATTTAGGATATGATTCTCCCTTGCGAGACACCACCAGTATGTTTCAGGATTCCGAGTGTAATTTCTGATGCTATGCCTGTTCTGGTGGCTTGCTGTAGAACTTTTTACTCCCTGATCTGCATAAGCTCGATGAATTTACGAAATTTTCATTTCAATGGGTTTGGGGTGATTATCCATGCCAAGTATGGACATCGAACCTTGAGCCAAACTTACACTTTTAAGTGAGCATCATTCGGTTTCTCCAATAACAATTTTCCATATTATACTCAGCCCCATCTTGAATCACGTACATCATTCCGCGTGGGCGACGGGTGTTGTGGTCAAAGGCTGTTTGGGGCATAACACACGACAGTGTTTTTTGCATTCCAAAATTACTGATAAACACTGAGATTCGATGCTCCAACAACATACACCAAAGACTTCAGGACGTTATGAACAACAGAGCACATTGGCGGGTTAGTGCTTACCTCAAAACCCAAATTACTTTAGCTTCTGTCTTAATGATTCATCCACTTCATGGTGGTTCACTACTTTTTGCAAATAAATGAAAAAAATTGGAGATATATGGGAGGTTTTAAAATGGTTTGGTCACTACTTTTCCTTTTCACTAGTCGAAGTAAAAATAAACAAAAAATTAAACTGGAATGTATACAGACGTTTGATTTCTTCCGTAGGTCCCCCAGCGTAGAATGTGAGATAATTCTGATCAGTGTTTTTATTAAATCTATTCGGAGAATATCAATTGCAAGCTCAACAGCGTTT